ACAGCAGCACTGAGCTGGGAAGGATTAAAACCACAAGCAGTTAAAACATAGGCATCCCTTTCTGGACTACAGGCTGCTACCCTGCCTTTATCTGCAACAGTGCTAAAGATACAAGACTATAAAGATAGCTACACGCACTTATGCCAACTGATAATCTCATCTTATCTTCTTGAGAAGTGGTTATACTTCAGCAGAGCAGACTGCCAACCCAGCTCCACACACAGAGTGTCCTGAATGGAGACCTTGGAGATTGCTGTTTGTCTCCAGGTAGGCAGTGCATCACCCCCTGCATGGACAGAAAGGAACAGAATTCAGACCCTCAGACAAAGGAACTCACAGTCTGTCCATTAAAATACAAGGTTTTATATTCACCACATGCTCACAATTTGTTTTCTTAACCTTTAATGACATCGAGGAGCTACAGGTTTATAAATAGATGTGACAACCAGTGATTAGATGCCATTTTGGTGGAAAATAATCTGAAATGCTGTAAGGCTACGTTACAAGGCATTATTTAAAAAGTTGATTTTGAACTTCTGGTGATATTACGTTATTCTTACAAACATTAGAAACAAACATTACTTAGTGATGTGTCAACACTGCAGAAGAAAGTGCAACCAAAAGGAACAGAGTAATAACATTTAGAACAAATCCTTTCATCAACAAAGCCCGTGTAAATGAAGGAAACAATAAAAGCTTGCACGTTACACTGTCTTGGACAGACAGCAACTCCACTACCAAGAGCAGCAGTCTAACACTGTCCTGGAGGAGTCAGGTTTGTTTAAATTGCAAACTTCCTGTCCTGGCAGTCAGTTTTCCTGTCCCCCACACGCAGGTGTCTGCACCCAGGCACAGCTGGGGTGTCCTGGTCCTCTGTAAATAGAGAATATTTTGCTGCTCAGTGCTGCCCACTGAGCCAGTTCCGTGGTGCACACAAATGCCTGGGATACTGCAGTTTGGAGATGGGACTCAACAGTAATCCAACAGTGCTGGGCCCACTGCTTCTGAAGGGCTTTAAAAACACACGTGTTAGCTGTCTGAGTGTAAAAGTACAATACAGTTTGGTTTGTTGCTAAGATACAAAATTTGAAAACACGATGGCAATGCAATGTTTCCTCCTGGAAGGTGACATGGAGTAGAGGAAAGCACAGTGTACAACCCTGCACTGCATGTCTGTGAAATACTGTCCTGCTACTGCTCCTCTGACTGCGCTTTTGGTTTAGGGAAGTCAGACTGGACACAAAAGAGCCTCAAAATCTAACAGTACTTAAGACCCAGTTTCCTTAGTGACACTTTTAACAGAATGTTCTACACACAACACACCAACACAGCAATGATACCAACCAAGTTTACCCCTAAGAAAACAGGAGCACGGTAATATTGCATAGAAAGATCTCCTTGGTAGAAATGCACTGGGACTAGAGCTTTTTTTTCTGCCTTGCTGAATGAAAGCACAAACATTTTAAAAAGCATATCTCACATTTGACATTTTTCTTAGCTATATTCTTTGGAATTGCTAGTGCATATGTTAATTCAAGCATATTTTATTTTGCATGCTACTATTTGATATTAAAAGAGTAAAACTGGAAGGAAAGCAGTTTTTCTGCCTCCCCCCAGAATGGAATGTAAAATAATTTTTCCTGTTGTTGCATAAAAATAAAATCCAATCTTTCTCAAAAACAGAAAGCTCCAACACAACAGAATAGCTGAAGGAAGAGGATATCCATAAAAGATAGGAAAATCCTGGGTTAAAAAAACTCTGCAAAATAAGTTAAAAGCACTATTCAAGAATTGAGTAAAGAAAGAGCCCACATTTACCTCCCACCTCAAACTGTACATGACTGTAGAACCTTAATTTTGGTACTCAACTGTATTTTCATTTCAGTAGGCAATCCTGCCACAATCAGCACATGGACACATGGAGTGCACATGGGAGGAGAGTTAGGGGGAGTCTGCCAGAAGGCCATGCAGCACAGCATCACAAGGCAGAAGTCATTTTCTTCAGCTACTCCTTACACTGAGCACCTGAATCCCAATGTACAGAGTGTGCAGAGAGATTAAGTCCACCTAGAAGCTGTAACTAAAAGCATTATGCAGCATCAGAGAAATCACAGGAAAAGCTGTAAAGATGATCACATCTACACAACTACATTTCATAAAAAACTAGAACTTCTGCTCTCAGGTAGAATATATATCTTTAGAATATCTGTGTAAGTGGTAAATATATACAATAAATATATTTTGTTATACTATCTATAATCACAGTTTTTTTACCCAGCGACATAATTTGAGAGGTATACCAGGAAGATGTGGTTCTGACAGTAAATTCTTTCATATTAATGTAAGAAAACACGATCAAATTCTTCTGGCTGCTGCAGATAACAGCTGAAAGTGCTTCAGGAATTAGAATTATTATTATTATATATTTAGAATTTCATTTTAATAAGAAAGCCATTGGCATTCTGTGGGACAGTTAAGGAACAAATAAGATTTCTTCCTAGGAAATGCTGAAAGGCACGTAAAGATTCCAATATAGATATTTAATAATGCATTAAAAAGCAGATTCGGAGTATTTTTGTAGATGATGTTAAAACACAGAATTAGCAGATGTGTGCCTGTTTGTGCTACTGAGAAACATTTCATGTATGTGTGAAGAAATTGTGTGTCTTTATGAACGGACATCTGCTCACTGCAGTGATCCACCTTCCCCAAATGTGCTGGAATAACAGTGTGCACTTACTCTGCTACTGAATGACACACTGAGGCACGTGCATATGCATCAAGAAGTTATCTGCAAATGGTAAAAGGAGGAAATAATTAATGAACCTGAAGAAATGCACATGTATTGACAATGATGTTTCAATTCTTGTCCTTATGCTAATACAGCCAGCGAGCTGAAATTCGGTCTACAGTCACTTAATTGGTTTGATTCTTGTTAGGATTTCTACTAATTGGGTAGATTTCAGAAATACTGCTGTAAGACGCATAGTATTGCACACAAAAAAAACCAAGCAGCTTAACTGTGCAAAAGCAGACATGAATGTCTATGGGCATACAGCACAACTTACTGCAGAAGGGATCACCGTATTGCACATGAAATAAGATGGCACGTTCCATAAAGCTACAACTTTGCACAATGAATGACAGTCATCTCTGTGTCACCGAAGCCGCCAGCCATGAGTAATTCACTTAGAAGTGAAGCACACTGCCTAAGGGTTATTGCCTTGCCTACACCATTCTACACCACTTGGACAGGAAGGTGGCGTGGGCTTCAGTCACGCCAATGAAAATAGCTGAGCTGATACTTCTGCTCCACAAGAAGACTGGCTTGAAGACAATTTGCTCTCTTGAAAAGTAATTCAAATATTTTGCTTTGCCTTGCACTCAGTGCACCTGCAGTTTTTTTGTTTTTCTTTTTTGTTTTTCTAAATCTGCCTTGAGAATAAACTCATGTGGTAGAAGTGAAACTGTGTAAGCAGAGCAGTGCAGCTTTGGCATATATTGCTGAGGAGTTTCTATTTAAATGCCTCAAACTTGTTCCACAGACTTTGCCAGTAGCATCCTCTGGGCCACCTGGGCCACCTTCAAGGCTTTCAGAAGTCCTTATGTGCCTCCAGAAGACTTGGTCTTTTACTGAAGTTACACATATGTCACTGATAATCTGTGTTCAAGCTCAAGCCCATAAAGCTACCCACAAAATTTAGAGCTGAAGACAGGCTGAGCTGCTTCAAAGCTCAGGAGTCTGCTTTGCGAAATGCTCTGATGTGCTACATCCCACAAAGGTTTAATATTCAGATATTTATTTAACAAAGGGGTTAAACCTTCATAAATAAAGTTATAGCCCTGGTTAACCTACACTGCACAGAAATTGCTTTTTCCCCACAAGCAACAGCACTGGCATGCTCCAGAATAAGTTGCTGGTTTAGTGTGTGGGCAGAGAAGGCAAAGAAAAAGCATTTAGGAAAGCTACAGCAAAACTGAAGAGATGTTTGGCTGTATTCCCACCATATCTCAAAGTGCCTCCAAATGGAGAGTGCCTCCTTTTCCTTCTCTCCAGCATTAAGGCTCTTACAAAAAGCTATGTTTAACTAAAAGACACTTGGGCTTTCATGAGAAAATACACCACTCGATACGCTTTTAGACTAAGACTTAGTTCTGCAATTCTATCTTTATAGATAAATAAATACACAGTGTTACTTTATGACAAGATCAGGGCCTTATTCTAACAGGTGAGATGCTCAGTAGGTCCTAGCAATATGTTTCTTTTGAGATCACAGGGATGGGAACACTTGGTAGGGAACTAAAACCAAGCTATGATAGTATATAGCAGCTACTGTCACTGTGATTAGACCAGAAAGAGGTCTAGAAGAATTAAAGGAAATGCTCTTTTCCCATCATGTAGCCAAATCTTTTTCTCCAGAATTCATCAGTTCAATTATTCTGACAGAACCAGGAGACATGAGTGCTCCCAGATCCCATCGAAGTCAAAAGGTTCCATGAGAACTTGACACCAACCAAGCTGTCCGAGATACTTACAAGGAACTCAAAAACACATTAGAATTAATAGAATTAATGTCATTCCTGAAAAACCTAAAGAAGACCCAAAATGTTCGAGACTGCATCTTACAGCCCTGCATGAGATCATGTCAGAGCAGGTCCAGAGGATGGCCACAAAAACGCTCCAAGGGATGGGACACCTCTCCTATGGGGACAGGCTGAGAGCTGGGGCTGTTCAGCATGGGGAAGAGAAGGCTCCAGGGAGACCTGAGAGCGGCACCAAAAGGGGCTGTAAGCAGGAAGGGCACAGACTTTGTAGCAGGGTCTGCTGTGACAGGACAAAGGGAAACGGTTTCAAAATGAAATACAAGGAGGATACAAGGAAGAAGTTTCCTCAGTAAGGGTAGTGAGGCACTGGCACAGGTTGTGCAGAGAGGTGACGAATGCCCCATCCCTGGAGTCACCCAAGGTCAGGCTGGATGGGCTCTGAAGCTGTAGGAGTCCCTGTTCATTGCAGGGGAGCTGCAAAAGATGGCCTCTAAGGGTCTTTTCCAACTCAAACGATTCTATGATACCAACATGAGTTCTACCACTCTGAGCAGTGACACTTCAGAGGTCCCTGTCCTGCACACAGACACGTGCTGAGCTCCTGGAGGGCAGCACCGGGCAGCAGCACAACCCGTGTCCACTGCTCAAAAAGCAAGCTAGAAAAGGAAAACCCTTCACTGCTCATACCAATCTAAAGCACAGCTTTGAAGGCAGAAGTCAACATACTCTGCCATCCCCACGCTTTTACTGATACACTTATTTTCATATGGCAAGATATGGCTTTTCTTCAGTAGGTCAGAGCTCATCCAGCTTTGTGAAATCTGCCTTTTTCCAGAATGAGGAGAAAAAAAAAAAGGAGTGTTTTCCAAGCACTCCTGCACCGACAGCTCAGCCGAGGAACCTCAGTCAGACGGGAAATGGAAATCAACCCGCAGGGCCGAGAGCCACCGGCACGGCTGAGCCCCGCGCGGGGCGGCTCCACCGCAGCGCGACAGAGCTGAGCGCACAGCTTTCAACGGCAGCGCTTTCCTAAATGCGCTCGAACACGCGGAGCGCACAGCCCATCCCGCCGCCCGCGGCCGGACCGCTGTCCGGGACACACGGAGCGCACGTCGGTCATCCGCGAAGCGATTGCAAGCGTCCTCCGCCGACTTACAGCGCAGCGGCGCGGCGCGGGGCGAGGCCGGGGCCGCTCCGTCCGTCAGATGAAGTGGATCCAGGCGCTGCTGTCGGGGTCCTGCGGCGGCCCCGAGGCGGGGGAGCGCGCCCGGCCCCGCAGGCGGTAGTTGGAGCCGCCGTTGTTGTCCCAGTACTCGGCCCCGGCCACGCGGTAGCGGACGGCGAACTCCAGCGCGGCCTCGGAGCCGGCGGCGGCGGGGCCGAGCGGCAGGTGGAAGGCGAAGCGGTCGGTGAGGCCGTCGGCCGGCCCGGCGGGCTGATAGGCGGCGGGCACCTCGCTGCAGCTGGCCCAGCGGTCGAGCGTGTAGCGCACCGACACGGCCTTCTCGTAGGCCAGGTTGAGGACGCGCACGGCGCCGCGCAGCCCCGCGGCTTCGCAGCGCACCCACTCCAGCCTCACCTTGTGCTGCCGCACGCGCTCCGCGAAGCCGGGCCCGGCGCCGGGCTGCGGCGGGAACAGCGGCTCCAGCGGCGGCGGCCCGAACGGCACCGGCGGCCCGAACGGCACCGGCGGCCCGAACGGCACCGGCTCCAGCTCGCCCAGCGCCGGCGGCTTCCTGGTCTTGAAGAGGTCGGCGCGGCGCGGCGCGGCGGGCGGCGGCACCCGCGGCAGGTCGGCCTCGCAGAAGTGCCGCACGGAGATGAGCTCCAGGCCGAGCGAGTCGGCGAAGCGCACGGTCTTGCGGCGCGAGGGGCTGTGCCGCGGGGCCGGCCGAAGGCCGCGCTCCCCGGGCGTGGGCAGCGACTTGGCGCGGCGGCGCTGCGTGGGGCTGGGCGGCACGGCGGGCAGACGCGGCTCCCGGCCGCGGGGCGGAGGCGGCGGCTTCTCGGGGGCCGCGTCCCGCGGGGCGGGCGGCGGAGGAGCGTCGCCGTCGGGGCTGCAGGCGCCCCCGCAGCGCTCGGCCAGGCTGCCGTAGAGGCAGGCGCTGCAGCTGAAGTTCCGCGGCAGGTAGAGCCGGGGCGGCGGCGCGGGCACGGCGCTGTGCAGCGAGGCCGCCTTATCCATGGGGGCGGCGGCGCTCAGCGCTCAGCGCTCGGTGCGGGGCCGTTCTCCTGCGGCCGGCGCCGCTCTGCCCCGCGGGCCATGCGGCGCTGCGGCGGGGCCGGGCAGGGGCGCGCCCCGACTCATCCCGCCCCGCCGCTGCCCTACTTGCAGCACCGCGCCGCCGCCTTCTGGGTCTTTCCTCGAGGAGCTCAGCCAAGAGGAGGAGGAGGAGGAGGAGGAGGAGGCGGCACAGGCAGGGATTCCCCGGTGGAGGCGCGGAGATGCATCGCGCGGCGCCGTGCCCCGCCGAACGGTGCCAGAAATAGCTGCGAAAGGAAGGAGCGGAGCCGGGCTCGCGCAGATTAAAGGGGCCGATAAGAAACAGCTGGCTGGCAGCTCGGTTCTCGCAGTGTACATTTAAAGGAAGAAATCCAGCTAATCCGCGATAATGCGGTTACGGTGCATCAGCTGAGGGAAACGGACGCGCCCGGCCGTGCCGCAGCGCAGAGCAGCCCCGCTGCGAGCGGCCGTCACGGCACGCAGGGTGCGATGTGCGGGATTTGCTGTGATGACGGCCGGCCGGCGCTCCAACGAATGGCAGGCGATGAGAAGCGGAGCGGCGCAGCGCTGCGCGGAGCTGAAATACCACCCGGCCAAGCCGCCTCGCTCCGGTCTTTCCGTAATCTGGTGCTCGTTTTTAATTAGTAAATTGCATTAAAAACAGTGATCCTGCCAGAGGCTGAGCCTGAACTGTGCGGACGTGTAATTCTCGCTTAACTCCTGAGCTTTTCCACCTTCGTCATTCCGCTCGCGGCTCTGTGGCCGGCGATAAGGTTAACGATGGGAGCAGCGAACGTGATGGAACCGAACAGCCACCAGAACACGGGGCACAGCTCACTGTTGGCTCACATCGGGAATATCAGCTTCAATCCCTTTCTTAGGAAGCATGAAAATAATTGCCAGGTTATTTTCACTGGGTTCCTAATCTCCTTAATGACACAGAAGCAAGGAAAAATTATGCCTTGCGGTGTTAAATTTGACACCGTTATTATTATTATTATTATTGGCTAACGTTAATTTCAGTTTAAAACCACTAACCAGAACTTCATGTATTACACGAATATTTAAAGTTTGTATTTTTAAACGATGGTGAAACTATGAGAACTAATAAGCTGCAGTGGCTGAAAGCTGTACAGGAAAGGTGTTCAGTTTTGTCTTTGTGGTGTAGAGTGCCAACAAAGCTGCTTGGGCTCATTTAGCTTCTGCTGCATTTCACACAGTAGGGATGTTCAACTTCCCTCCTTCTGGTAATTTTGGTTGCTTCACTTCTTAGCATAAGCTTGTGTAATACTTTTGCTTTTTGGCTTTTTCAAGCCTTTTGCTTCACAAAATTCTAGTAATATTTCATGGAAAAAGAAGGAAAGAAACAACAACTCCTTTCTGGACTGATGACTGTAAGCTACAGAGCTTGTGTAACAAAGCTGAAAAATGTCCATTCCCCAAAGTTAGTAAAGCAAAGACATAAAAAAAGAAAAAAAAGTTCCATGATAAGAAAGCAAAAACCCAACGTGTTAAGCTTTGGAGTGGTCAGGTCAAAGCAATGTGAGCTGCAGAGGGGCAGCCCTATAAACAGAGCCATGTCATGAGCTGCTCAGAAATTTGGGTTAAGTTCAGCTCTTGCCATCATCAGCTGAAATCTACTTGTTTTTTTGCCATCTATTTTTTTGCAAAAGAAAGAGTAGAAAGAGAGAATATAAATGCATGGCCACTATAAATAATTTCACAGTCCTTGTGGAGTAAAGATGAAAGAAGGCTTTTTAAAGGCTTCTAAAAATTGGGAATTAAATGGGGCTTAAATAATGAAAAGCTCAATGTAGCAGCTTGTCCTACAAGTGCTCAGGTTTCACCTGCAGTTTCCCCCACACACCTCAGCTTCTCACAAACACCTCAGCCTTGTCTCTGCTGGGCACTGAAATTTACCAGACGTGCACAGCCAGCCTCTCCAATGGCCTGCAGCCTTGTGCTGTGATAGGTTTGTAACAGGAAGCAGCAGACACCTTCATTTCTAACAGGAAATGATTTCAGTTTTGCCTGCTGTAAATATTTGTGCACCACGCTTGAACTCTTAGAAGTGAGCAAGTGCTACAGCATGAACAGAAACTGTGCCTTAATATATGCAGTGGTAGGCAGCCGTACACCACCCCCTCTGTGTTACAAACATGTACATTTTAAAGTTGAATCTGTCTGCTGTTTTATGGTGTGAGTTATGACAAGGATGTTAGCCAAGGCTCTTCTTTAAAAGGGAATGTTAACAAGCTGGTAACGAAATGATTCGTTCTGCTGCAGCTAGCCCCTTCAACTATCATCTTTCTGCTGGAAAATAGTCTTTTTATGATGAGACAGTTTTGAAAGTTCCAGCAGGAATAGACCAGTCGTCATGTAAACACTGGAGCTACACAGTGTTGCTCTGTTATACTGTAAGAAAACCAAAAGGTTTTACATTACATTTAGACATAGGAAATGGCAATCAGTCAGGCACTGTTGGCATCCTTTTGCACGTTTAAGGGGCACAATCACAGAAAGAAATGTTCTCCTAATAACACTGTCCTACTCACTTTCTGCAGACCTTCCAGCTGATACAAGCAGCTAAAGGCAGCCTCTGCTCTGCTGCATGCACTGCCCAGCCCTGACACTTCTACAGTGCCAGACCGCACTTCAAGTCAGCCCAACGCCTGAGAAATTCCAGCTTCTCATCTTGCCACTCGGTCCTCTATTTTATTATCATTTCAACAATTCAGAGAAAAAAAGGCAGAAGTGATCCAAATCACAGAGGGCAATGAACTGAGCTCTCTTCTGCTGCATTTTAGCTGTTGTCCTGACTCCAGGTAATCTAGGAGAAAGCAGATGCTGGTGCTGGGGAGCACTGATGGAACCAACCGAACTATGATGGAACCATTAACAGGGAGAGGAGTGTCTGTGTGTTGGGACTCATCCAAAGTGGCCATTGTCACATATCTGCTTCAACTTTCCAAAACAGGCTTATTTATAGCAATGAAAGTTGTGGAGAGAGAAAATGGATGTAAAGATGAAGTGCATTATGATTACATCAGCTTTTGAGATGAAGCAGTGACTCAATGCGTGCATTGAACAGGTCAGCTTCTGCTCTCATTCAATTATTATCCTCACCTAACCAGGACGTGTGGTCTTTATCTGTGAGGATGTAAGCTGGACGATGCACAAGAGTTTATCCAGGATGTTTGATTTGAGGGGTTAATGAATGATTTCCAAAGGACTGCACGTTCTGATGAACACAGAGGTGACAGCTCAGAGAGTTACTCTGCAGTTGGGGGGTTTGGATTTGAATGTACATATGTATATATATATTACTTTACATATCAGGAGCCAAAGAAACCTACGATAACAAGAAAATGGAGTTGTAAGAGTTTACTTCAGTTCACGACCTTGTGAATCTGCCTTCTGTGTGCCCTGATGGAGCTCAATGCAATTTTATTAGGTAAGCATTAACCACCTCTCCAGACTCTGTGATTGGCTTTAAGGCTTTGGGAAAGTGTGGGAGCTAAAAAAAGCCCCAATTAAGACTGCAGTGGAAAAGCAATAAATAAATAAAAAAAAAATAAAAATAAAAAATAAGAGACCTATCTTGTTCTTTGGAAGTGAAAAACACCACTCTGTTTATTGTATTTTTTTTCTCATAGAAATAGTTGTGCTCTTTTTAAAAGGATTCATAGAGTCACAGAATCGCCAAGGTTGGAGAAGACCTCCAAGATCACTCAGTCCATTTATCTCCCCCCAGTATTTCCCATTAAGCCACATCCTTTAGTACCACACTTAAACCCTACTGGAACTCCTCCAGGGATGGTGACTCCACCACCTCCCTGAGCTGTTCCAGCTCCTGACCAATCTTTTGGAGAAGACTTTTTCCTAATATTCAACCTGATTGCCTGTTTCCAGCACAGACAAAGTGGAAGCTGGTGAGGTGGGATTCCTGCAGCCTGTAACATGGCTTGTCCCGGACAAAGGGAAGTGAATGCACTTTGGGATGCCTGTGAATCCCATCTCCTGGTAGGAGTGCTTGGGTTCCATCCTGGTGCCATGCTGTGAAGGAAGCATAGGACCCAATAGTGCTCGCTCATGTTTTAGAAACTAAAATACATTCATCGCATGATTCATTTCCATTTTTTGTATTTTTCCAATTTAAATATCAGTTGGTCAGGCAGTGATCCACTGTAAGAAATAAGATGATTCCTTACACTGCAAGATCCACACTGTAAGATCTCACTGTTTTTTCTTCATTCCCTCACAGTTTTTCTTTCATTTCCTATCTGGTCATTTCAGATCCATTTTTTTCAGATACACAATTCTCTTCCCATTCAATTTTTAATACTCTTCATGCTCTCTGCTTCCTTCGGGTGCTGTCAGCACCTTTCCCCCACCTCCCATCCCTCGTGTTCCAGGCCGGCACTGCCTCGTTTCCTCACACAGAGGCGTGGGTTCCGTCAATTGTCAGAACAGCACTCCTCAGGCTCACTGCCCTCCAGGCCCACCGCCAGCCCCTGGCACCGGGGGAATGCAGGGAAGGGGAAGCTCAGCCACAGTGGTGTCCTCCTCATCACTAGGGGAGCTTCCCTTCTTTTGCAGGGCTGGATGGAAAATAACATTTTTTTCCTCTTTGAATCAATTTCATGGAGGTGTGGGAATTTGTTTTGCTAATCGCTTTTACACACAGTGAAGAAAAGTTGTGTGACCCCTCAGACAGCAGTGTTGACTTGTCACAATTAAACATGTCAGATATCAGATGAGTCTGCTCCAGTTCAGTGTAAAACTGAAAACCCACATGGAAGGGTTGTGATACTCTCTGCTCTATTTTTCAGTTCAGAGCTCTTTCAGAACACGAGGTAACTGGATAGGAATGACATCTGCTTCTTATTTTGTTCTCAGAAGAAAACTCAAACAGCAGGAATGTTTATTTGCATCAGCAAAGACTATTTGCTCTACATTTTTCTCCTTGCAGTGCCCTGGGCTGCCTTAGGTTTATCATTTCTCTATGACCAGGTGCATGGCTGGGATAGAGCCAATCCACTCGCCTGCTTTCAGCTGCAAAAACAAGTCAAGCACTTAAAGGCAAATGAAACTTCCAAGTGCTGCTTAGAGACCTTAGGCAAGTGCTCCTGTTCTGCTTAGACATGTTGCCACCTATTGACAGAAGTGCAAATGAAGATGCCAAGACCACAAAACATCAGTTGAAACCAGAAAACAAATTAAGTGTAGATGCCACCACCACTGATACCACTTCAGGAAGGGATGTCGATCCATTCTAGCAAGTCTAATTGCTGCTTTACAACACATGGCATTAAAACAGTAACATGTAACAAAAAGGTACACTCTGTTCAAACATAGCAAGGTGAAAAAAACCTGTAAATAAAAGCCAACTGTATGTGAAACTGAGGAGCTGTGAACAATACGGAAGCCATGAAGCAATAAAAGCCCAGGCACTTGATGTGCTTGATCCACATGACTTTGAATCCTTGACTTCAAAATCTTCACAAATACTTCCACCTGTGAAAGATGCCACTCCCAAGGACACTTCAGACCCCTCTTGGAAGAATAAAAAAGGCATTATCTCTCAGCAGGTGCTCAGTGGTACTTCAGTTGAGATTGCTTCCCGTAGCCATGATGCTAAATGAACAGAGCAGAAGGATAAGAAGGGAGCTGACATCATGAATGATAAATGAGGGGAAATGCAGCAATTCATGAACTACCACAACTCTTCTCAACTCATACAGAGGTCACACTCCTGCAAGAAGATCTTGAGCAGTTATCCTGGGACTGTGCTCTTACATCAGACAAGTATAGCGGCCATTTCTAATCTTGCTGCTTCAAAAAGCAGCAGTCATCCATCATGCCTGCATGCAGATTCCACGCTCAAAAAGAACAAAGTACACAAAACATGATATCCAAGGCTCGTTAGCTTACAATGTCAGGAGTAAGCATGTTGAGGTCAAGGAAGGAAACACACCAGAAATACCGGTGGTTCCATTGCCTCCTGGGCTATTTACCTTCCTTAAAGCTCCACCACACAGCAAGAGCTGCACTACCATCTAGATTGAATGGACATTTCTATATTGCAATTTGATGTCTGTTTTTTCTCCTTGTTAACCTGTAGAAGGAAAAAAAAAAAATTCTTGCAAGTCACTGGGGTATCTGTAGTTTTTAAAATACTGTTAGTAGCACTATAAGCTACTGAATGCCAGTTACTTCCACATAGGTTCAGTTTTTTTTCTGATCATAAGATAGATCTATTCTGAGGATGAAGTGCAGCCTCTTCATTCAGATTCACTTTAAATGACTGCTGTAGCCTACTGTGGGGATGAGGTATTTGATACTGATCACTGAATCAATGCC